ATGAAAACTGTCCTCCAGTTTCGAATCTTCGAAGATAGAAATCTAAATGAATCATCAACGAATGGTAGGAGAGGCAGTGCCTAAAATCTAACCCTGCGGGACCCCCTTGTCCAATTGGCGATGAATTGGAGTGCGGCGCACAAAACTTATCATGACATCTTCGTCCTCCTCTTCCTGGATAGTTTATCTGCCGCGATAAGCACCATTTCCTTTTATTGTTCTCGTAATCTCTTGATACTATGAGTTGGTGGCGACGAATTAATGTTTTAATAAAGCTGAGAGATTCTGTTAAAATAATTTTTGAGCTTATCTAGATCTTTGATTTATATCGTGTTTTGCAGCCTTGGAGCGTTGTAATCTACACATTTCTGGAAGTTAGCAATGAGAATAAATATACAAACTGTGATGCCTTTTCGCGAAAATGAATAATCACGGAACCTACTGCTGATCTAATAGAACAATGAAGGAACTGCTGAATTGTACGAAAGAAGGTAAATAGGTCGAGACTATTGCAGCAAATTATAATATCTATAGTAATACGGACAGAATTGTTTGTTGTTCTGGTCCGCGTGGGGAAGTTACGTTTTGTTGAAATGTCACGTGACTGTAACGTCATCTGAGGAGAACAATGCATTTGTTTATTGTGTGGTGTTAGTACAAGAAACTCCCGTTTTCGGTAGAACATTATCACATGACTCTTCAATAGTATAGTATAGTGAAAGGAAGAGCAGGCAGTTTACAGGGGAACAACCGTCTCAATGTACAATTGTGTCATTTTGATAAATATTCAATAAAATACTATTAAGTCTCATGTAGTCCTTGTTACATTGTTTACTTAGGTTTTTGATTGAAATAGTCACATAATTGTTAATTTTGACAAAAAACTCATAAATTTCAGGGGAACAATGTAAAAATTGTGAGAAAGGGGGCGAGCGCAAAGTCCCAGAGAATCTCTATTATTAGTGACTTATAACAAGATCATGGTAAGATCATGGCATAAAGAACCATGACTATTACTGTAGGTGTACTGGTGTTGGTTCAAAGTCTTTTATTTCAGAATTTTGCTTCTGCGGAAAAATTCTATTTTCTACAGTTACGTCACTGTCCCATGATATGAGCGATATGGTCGTTGCCTTATATATGTATTCTCGGATACCATACAACACGGTGGGAAAATATGTAATAATGTGATGTAATAAAAAGTATTTTGGTGTTCGTTGTTCATTGAACAACAATGTATACTTTCGCTTGTAGATTCGTGAGCGTTCAGAAGGAAGGGATTATTGTCAATATGTCATCCTTTGACAATACTTCTGCTTATCCCAATGTAAAAATCTTACACTTTTCAAACATAAAAGCTACTTGAACCCCTATTTTATTGTATATATTTCGAACGTACTTTTCGCCGACAAATTTGAGACTGTGGCTTGGACGAATTTAATATCATTTTTTTCATTATGTTGTAAGATCATCGTCAGGGCATTGATGTTGGTACCGGTCGTTGTGGATACATGCATTGCATATCATATGAATAGAATTGATTAGAGGATCAATAGAAAATTACGTGTAGCGAACATTCATCTGAACAAAGTTAACGTTTGTGCTAGTAATTTTTATGCAGATTCTGAAATCTCTAATACTAAATTAAGTACCCGGCGTTACCTAGGTTCTACCCGAACAATCTCACGTGTAATTTGTTCCATCAAAACGAGTTTTCCTGCTTCACTGGGGCAAGTCCAACCTCTGTGAAGCATCCTAAACCCTTCACATATCCTAATTCCTTCCTTGGCTGCTGGGTAATCACATAGGGGCGCATGTGTGAGGCGCGTACGAGGAAATGCTACCTGGCGATCCTCTTGACAACTCACACGATATACTATAAACAAATAGTACATTAATGGATGTACTGTAAACAAATAGTACATTAATGGAGGATTACTCCATAAGAACATAATTAACGGAGGATTACTCCAGAAAACGCTTTCTTCGCCAAGTTCTTGGTATAAGAAGGAACGTTGTCACAGAAAAGTGACAGAATGTTATTACAATAAACAGACAGAAAAAGATATGGATTTCATTTAGAGTGTAAAACTGGAATAATTTTATTTTCCGATCACTTCTCCGCCTTACCCTTTCTCACGCTGCCCTGCTCCACCCTCTCCTACTCAGTTGTCATTAGATGCATTGCTGGTCAGATACACGAAAATAACTGGAAAGTACTGGGTTATCAGAGTCACCGCAAACTGATAGCCAACCACTAAAGTGATGTTAGATCCTAAGATGAACCATGAAATAATTAACCTGAAAACAGATTGAAATTTATTGCACCTCTAACGTTGTTTTTTGCATTTGTATGTAGTAATTAGTTTTATATTTAAACGAGTGTATAGAGCGGAATGTAAAATGATATAATTCTCAAACGAAAGTCTTCTTTCTGAATAAGTTTCACAACAATGAGTTCTGATAATGTATTATTTGTGCTCTCAGCTGAAAAAAATAAGTTTAGATTTGCCCGTAAAGTATTATGAGTTGATTTGACCTATATTAGAGTAACAAAATTTAAGACACCTGAAATCCTAGATAGTAGGGATGGATAAATTAGTATAGCATTTCAAAGAAATATTTTGCATTAGAAACAAGAAGAAAATATTCGAAGGTTTGTGTTGTCAAATTAATATTTTCTGGATTCGAATGCTAATTTCTGACTTTGGCCTCCAGTTACTCCCCCTAAAAAAACAACACATGTGCCCAACGATGCAATTACAGATACATATTATAAGGGCTAGAGTGGGCATTCCAGAGTGCAAGAAAACGTACACAGATTGCTCTTCTCCTACATTGTAGTCACATATTTTGACTTTTCTTTTGACATTAAATATATAATTTAATTTATTTATTTTGTTTTCCCTTTTCCTTTTGTTTTCGTTTTTCCTTCGTCTTTGGCGCTCGCGAATTCCCGCTGAAGCTCGCATTAATAAACACAATGCAATTATTTTGGGAGAGATTTATAGAAAATAGAAACCCGTAAATATGGATTCCCTTGTTGCCTTTTAATTAAAAGTTTGTTTCTAAAGGCTTATCCTTTCCTCGTGAATCGGAGTCTACTCGAAATACAGTAGCGTTGATTAGGCCACAAGAGCGCGATCTGTGCGAAATTAAATGAGAGAAAAACTTTCATAATGGAAACTAAGAAAAATAAAATGAAACTACTACGCGAAACATCGAAAAATAAAACGAATGTTATTCAACGTACTCGACCTTCCATGAAACAACGTTCAAATACGTGTTACGATGTTAAGAATGATCAGTATAATATAGGAAAATAGTAATTTTTCGTTAAAAAAGGCAAACATTTCTTTGCACTGTTCATTTGCACTATGCTATACAAACTACGTTGTCGCGCATATGCCATCAGTTGAAAGACTAGTGATAAATTGTTGTTGACTAACTCCAGTATTAACAAGTAATACAGGATATTTGGAATTGTGTTTATTTTTTTATTGTCTAAAGATAAGAGCATAGAGGATGACTCAGCACCAACGGCCATCATTAAAAAATCAGCATACTACTGCCACTGATACCAAATGATGAAATGCGGATAATTTAATGAATTGTATTTAGCGGCGACGACGAGATGAAGTGTTCACGGTAGATATATTTATATTTGAATAAAAATAATATTTACAATTTGGAGTTGGCACATAAAGTTGTGGAAATCATAAACTTGGTCCATTCCAAATTGCTACTAAAGTAAGTGCCACAATCCGGGAAATAATAATTTATTGTGTAAAATTTTACCTTTCTTTCCTCGTCTGCAAGCCATAATAAAGGAAAGAATATCGGCAGACAAATTTCACAATTTACACACTGTTTTTACGACTAAATTTGAATGCTAACTCTTCACATAAAATATTAATTTATTTTACTCCTTTTAAACGAAAAGTAATTCGTTATTAATTTTTTAATAGGCAGACATTTATGTATCTCAAGGTTATAGATTTTGGTGGGGTTTATTTCGTTTCACGGAGTGGACACTGCAAAATAAAAGCGAAAATGCAGGTACAAATAGTTTTTAATAAATGCTGGGGTATGAACGATATACGAACTGCACATGATAAATATATAGCTATGTGCTACCCACACGTACCCCTTGGTACGTGCCCCTCGGTAAGGCCATGGTAAATATACATTATTATGTGGTAAGGACTTCAGAGTAACACATTTCAGAAGAGGAATTTTTTTTAGAAGGGAGAGATTTCCACGTTCGCTCTGTCGTGCGCTTGCCAGCGTAGTGGTGGAGGGCGTCGGTCTGGCGGAGGGCGAACCTATTTAAAAATCCTTCTTTAAGAAGCTGTTTTTCTTAAGGAAAAAAATCTCTATTTTCAAAACCATAGTTGTAGGAAGACGCGCAAAAAACTGCACTTTTGCAATTTTCAAAAAATCGAGGATTTTAACGAATATGAGGCCTGCACCATTTTCTTAACCGTCTTTAGGGTATCCGAATACAAAGTTTTATAAAAAAAATTGGCGTCATTTTTTGAGAAAAGCTCGAAATGTTTGCATATGAAAGTTTTGCATATTAGAATGTCTTGTATTTCGAAAAGTAAAGCTTATACTACAAAAAAATAACCACTTTTTATTAGTTGTTGGAACTTAGTTTACAACCCCATGCCAAACGTTATCTTTCATGGCACACATAATGATAAAATAGATGTTATTCGATTTGTGATTGTGAATGCTTTAAAATTATTTAACAATGAATATAAAAAACACATGAACCTGGAGAAGAATGGTATTAACAACACATGAACCTGGAAAGAGTAGTGGAATGGATATAGATTGAACGATTTGGATTTTCGCCATCGAATTATTTACGATTACAAAAAATTATCAAAAAGTATCTATTCCGTACGTTTTCTTCGACCTCAGACAGCCAGAGAAGAATAACTTAGACAGGCAGAAAAGAATATTAATAAAGAAGAATATCAAAATCACAATACCTTCAAGTTTTGCAACCAAAATTTCCTCTTCAGTTTGCCAGCTTGTTGCTCAAATTGTGATGCACCCTGTTGAAGTGCATCTAAAACAGAAACCCAATAAACAAGAATTTAGGTAGAGTTTCAGGAGAAAGAATCATTTGAAATTTCATTTCCAACACCTTCAAATGTAACCACCATTAAATATAAATAATGCTTTACAGTATATTGAATTGTAATTGGGACGTACTTTATGAAAACAATACATTTCTTCAAGTAACCTAAAAATGTATAGGAATACGTTCGAAGATGTAATAAACAAACGTGAGCATTTCAACAATGAGTGTATTTTCTTCAAAACAGATGAAATATTTTCTGCAACTTGACAATTACCCGGAGATGTCAAATTACAAAAAAATTTTGCATATTGTGTTTCAAACCTGTTTTACATTATCAGTGCTGATGTGATGATATTTTTGGTGACAATGAAAAAAAAGTATCTAATAGCAATCATATCGTAATGTTTCCCTGCTATTCCAGATTAATTTTGAACCAAATTTTCCTGATGTCTTTAACAGCGACTTGCTCTTATTAATAATCGCTGTGCACTGTCAACTGTGCATGTTGGCTTTGCATTGTATCAACTTGCACAAGCAATTCTATTTCTGTTAATAGACCAGAATTTGATGTTATCACATTTGCCAATTGGATTTACACAAATCAACAATATTCCAAAACGAGCCATGGGATCATAGAGAGCATTTCATTGCATCAACAGTGAAATAAAACAGGATTGTGACCATTTCACTCATCATTAACTAATTTAACATATGTGCTAACGTTTATTTCAAATAATGCCAATAGCAGCGAGAACCACTTAGAAACTAGTAAGAAAGACTTTTTAAAGCAACTGTATCGGAATATCCGACAACGGAGTGAATGAATAGTAATTATTATTTTCATGTACATTAATTGAAATGATTTAAAACAAATTAGTAGCTTGTTCCTTGAGTTGATCATTTGTTACTGGACAGAAAAATATTCGCTTCCCCAATATGGCATCTGCTATTTGATAATCTGATGAAAAATAAGGTTTTGAGCTTCGAGTAAGGTTGAACAATTTTTTTTCCCTCTCGACCAAACTGCACGACGTATTATGTCAATAGGTGGCCCACTTTCTTTTCCCTATTTTAAAAATACATACTTTTGAACCTTTCTTTAAAAATCTTTTTTCAAGAGACGAACTACTCCTTCACGTTATCTCAATTTCCTTAGGAATTTGATGCATTTTTCTTGTGAATTACTACGAGATGCGTTGCGTCTTAATCAATGACGAAAATATCTATAAGTTTTGATGAATTGGAATTACATACTTTCCTGATTATGCCAAGACATTAATCCCTTCCATTAATCTCCGTCCTTTTCACGAATACAGTAAGAATAATATTTAAAATGTGTCAATCATGTTATCACAGAAGCCATTTACAATAATTAGTTTCCAACAACATCCACTAAGATTTATGCATGAAAATACCACGAACCTCGTTTATATTCTCTCTACTTGCAGAAATCTACTGCCAACGATCGAATTAGGAACTAAGAACATTTCGGAAACCTGTATTTTGCATCGTGAGATGCGTGACATTAGAGACATGATTTTTATATCAGAGTATTATTTTATTTAAACTTTGTAGAGCTTACTGTAGAGTCAAACTTTGTAATTACATCTTTCATGACAAACAAATTTTCAAAAAGCATACTTATAACGTTGTTGTTTGCATGTTTTGGCAGTTTTGGGGAGAAATTAATGCGCAATGGTTTTTTGGACAATTTTTCAATTATTAATCTCTCTCTATATATAATTTGTTAATATTACCATTAATCAATATTTTGTATAAACATCATCTTATATCGTGACCGTACATAGTTGCGTTTATTTATTGTTCTACAACAAATTTTAATCATCCGGCGCACGTGCTAGATTTCCGAAACAAGAACTTGCAGTTTGAGCAACAATTGTGAAATGAATCACCGCCAAGTGATTAAGTCACAAAGGATATTGAAGTATGATTGATGAAGTTAATATTTATTTATAATGGAGTCATTAACCATGGATGAAAAAATTAAATTGACTTTGGAATTAGTGATTAGAGATGTGGATCTGAGATCCCCTGGGGACAAATTATATGAAGTGTTAAATCCAAATCCTGATTTGAAATTTCCCCAAAACCTAAAAAGAACATTATTTGTGGTAAAAATTGGAGAATGCAGAATAAGACCCCACATTGGCTCATATTTCATCTTTGAAATATATTCCGATTACGTCTTGTAACGTTGAAAGCATTTTTTACATTTAAAATCTTTTGCTTGTAACAAATGGATGCATTTGACAAAGTAAAATTTAGAAACAGTATTAACTATTTAGTTACAAAAGGCAATAACACAAAAATATACTAAACCGAAACTTGTTTCTGCATTTTTGTCACTTTTATCTCTACATCGTGTATGTTTACATGCATATTCTAGCATTTGATAGTGCATGGAAATCCTTTCTTCGGTGAATATTATTAATAATATTTTCTGTGAATTAATATTCCTGAGCCAGAAAAAGTCTCCAAATTGTCAGACTGAACTAATTTTGCAATATTATTGTATGCTTCGAAAATTATATTCTGAGATGAGATAAGCATTTAGCTTATTTGAGGTAGATATAGTAGTAGTATAGTAGAAGTAATATAATTTTGGACTGTAAATTCAGAATTGTGCGCTCAGTTATTCAGCGTGTAAGATTGTATATTTTGCAAATGTTAGCTTTCGCCACCGAAATGTATTTTTTAATGGAATGTTTTGACTTTAAAGCGCTATAAGATCAATGACTAAGTACTTTTTGCAAAATTTATAGACATCCCAGCGTGACACGTTTGATATTGAAATTGCAATGTCTAATACAAAACAAATTTAGGTTACTTATTCTCAGTTTTCTCGGAATCCTGAAGGGACGTCATTCACTTCAGAAAAGGCTAAAACAAAAACGGAATTCGTGAGTAATTTACCTTTCTTGTTTCTTTTTGAGTGTGCTATGCCTTTCTCAACAAATCTATTTCGGGTCGGAATGTAGGGTTCATAAATAGACGATTAATTTGAGAATCTTACCTGCTCGATCATCCAGTTCGGAGAGTTTCTGATCTCTTTCTAGCACCTTCTCCACATTAGTCTTCATGATGTCAACAACCTGTCAACAGAAAGAATGTTTTACTTACGTTTTATTTTCCACATTAAACATCGTTATATATTAAACAAAGAAAATTAAATAACAATACCTTATTCAAACTAATTAATAATTAAATGAATATTATTTTCAGAAGGGTTATTTTTGTGTAACATTCCTTATATTATCAATGCTAACAAAAGAACCGAATTCAATCTAATCTACTTGTATTTATTTTAGTTATAAATGATTTGCGAATAACGAAATTCTTGAATTTCGTTACCAATGCAAAGAAAAACGGACCTAGTGATGCTATTACTGCAAATACTATCTCGCAGTATTTCTAACCTTTGGAATTTTCGAGAATTCCAAAAATTAAGCGAAAATTATTGTAAGCGTTGTTGTAAGCGTTCTGTACTCAATCTGAAGGGGAAAATTAAAGAAAAAATTGGAGGCATTTTTGAGCATAAAAGTATAAATTGCGTATAATGCAGTATAAATTACCGAAAACTACTAGTTTTGTTAAGAAATAGTATATAACAATATTTAAAGATCTATTTATTGAGAATAGATTTTACTTAAGAAAAAATCTCTATTATCAGTATCGTACATTCGCAGCGCTAATGTTTTGCGATTTTCAAAAATACGAAAATACGATCAGCACCACATTATTTTATCCTCAATACGAGGGTAAAAATATAAAGAAAAATGAGGTTGACCCCCCTGCCCCGCAAATCAAAATATTCGTTTAAAGGTCGCTGGTAAGAGACATAGACACACACACAGACAGACAATCGGATGGGCAGTGGGACGGACAGACGTTTCGCAACGGTTCAGAAGATATTTGTTGAATCGTCTCACGTGAGTCAACCTGTATGTGTTTAGAATTAGGAGCTAATTTGCGAGGTTACCTGGTTCTTAATGATCGTAATTATTATTGAACACAGTAGCCTTTCTTTCAGTAAACTGCGTGTCAACAACGTTTTCTTCCACAATTCTCAGCTGTAAAGTGCAACTCCATTTGGTGCTAAGTGCTATTTCTGAAAATATTTTTTGTATGATCTACGCAGCAAGTCTGATATCGTTAAAATATAAATAATCCTTTATCCTCATCTTTTAAATTGAAAACTGGCGCACGATTTCTGTCATGTCAATTTTCAAGATGCCGAAAACTTTAATCTCAGAATATCTGCTACATCTGTTACATTTTCTGTGCGACGAACACAAGCAATATGAGATGTGCGAAAACACAAGCAATACAAAGATAGGGCGTTATTCAATACTCTAGTCATTTTTGTACTTTCTGTTATTCTGCATTGAATTTCATGTAATTAATTGTAATTTTCAGTCCAGTATACAACAAAATCAATGAAGTCAGTCAGTCAGTAAAAATATGTTTCATAATATTTGCTTTTACTTCCTTTTAGATTGTTCGTTCATCCTGTGCCTATTCTTTGTTCGATTTATGTAAACAATTGTCAAAAATTATTTATCTGATTTTAAACGGTCTAAAATATATCATACAACATGGTTTTGAATAAAAAAGAATAACTGTTTACAGTTCGCAATTTCGAATGTTAAATTTCTCATAGCCCCTTTTCAAGTTCCATTCTACAGTGTGAATCTCATTTTGTCTGTCAAGTATACGCAAATACTAGTAAGTACTGAATGTAGCTCTTGTGGTTTGCATCTATATCTGAGCCTCTTCCTTGTCGGAAGTGTCGGAAGATTGTTGCATAGTGCTCGCCGCGCCGGGGTCTCTGGGTCGCTGTGGACCACCGCAATTGCGGTGGCTGTGGTCTCTGCGATAGTGATAACGGCACCATGGACGGTTCGCCTTTGTCGCCCGCTCTCCAGGCGTCTTTGAGACGGCTGAGGCCGTGCATTCCTGACGGGAAGCCATCGCACAGCCGCGGGAGATCATTCCCCCCGTTTTGCGGTTGAGGATTGCGCTCATCCAATTGCCTTTTCCCCTCTTCGGAGGCTGTTATCGCAGTTTTTCTCGACTCGATCGAGTCGTTTTGTCTGCTTAGCAGAAATATGCATCAGAAATATTGCGGGATATACTGTAACGGGTTGTTTTGACCAATTATTTAAACAGATGTTATAGAAAACAACCATATAAACATTTGCTCAACATAACTCTTCAATCATTACAGTCGCTAACAACATTTTAAATTCACGTTGTTTCGATCTTGAGGTCCCCGAAGCGTCGTGAATGTAAAAATTGTTAGAAACTTGTAATAGTTTGAGAACCTTTGATTTGTAATGATTATACAATTGGCTTCAATAATTTTTAGAAACTTGTAATAATATGAGGCCATTTTAAATGTTTGGTTGTGTTTGTATAATTATTTTTAATAATTTCTGTTTACATAAGTAGTCGTGAAAGCCTCGACATTACGAGAATAACATATGCTAATGATAAATTATTGATAAACTAGAATTGGGAAATTCAGCGGAGCATATTGCTCTCATGCCCTGGGCTACCGCTGACCTTAGAAATAAATCTTTCACTATATAACTGTACATAATAATTATATACTATTTCATGAAACTCATTAATTTTTACAATCTCTCGTTTACGAACGACGATTCAAATACTTCTCTAATAAACGCTTTACGATACACTGATGGTCAACAGATTAACTTCCCGAAATTTGCCGTGACATTTTTTCAAAATATCTTGCCAAATTGACAATAGTTAAGATTGACACTTTCACATATTTAATATGTAGCAATTTTAACACTTAAAACATGCTTAATATAATCTATAAGGTATTTGTACGCTCACCACCAAACGCGTAAGTCTTGCAGAAAAGCGCACATCTAATTTACCCTGTCCGTGTATTGCCCACTGCCTCCAGACTGCTCCGCGCATGTCATGAAACCGCTCTGGAAATCGGTAACCAGAGCCCTTGGTTGGCCCATATCTTCCCAGTAGGAGGGGACCGTGAATCACGAAACGATACCACGGTGTGTGGAAGCCGCTGGGTCCTCGACGTTGCCGCCTCTTAAGAGGACTGGTGCACTGACGAGCGAGCGATTTAATACAGATCTCAACAGAACAGATTATACAGAAGTTTGAAAAATGTTTGCCACTCATAAAGAATGTGGCTAGAATTATTTTTTAATATAATTTGTCTTGACAGATTTTTGCTCTCGTAATTTTCTCGGGCTTCTACCAGTAGCCTCGGTAGCCCACTATATACGCCACTGGTGGAATTACTATGGTATTGATATGGAATGATACGAAAAAATATTCTAAAAAAATTATTTCATCAGGCGTGTTTCGATTACGCTCACCACACTTAACATTCATTACTTAAGTAGCAATGTTTTAGGTTGTGAGTCACGGCCGCTTTAAGCACGGTGCGGATGGAGTGGCCGTGAGGGGGCACGCGCAAAATCCGTGAAAACAAAAAGAAATGGAGAAGCAAAGATCAAAAAGGAAATAAAGAAACGAATGGGAAACTAGCGGAAAAGGAGGTCTAAAATTCTCTCTCATCCAAGATGAGACTTCGGCTCGCGAAAATCCTTTGCCTGGAGAATACACTCAAGAAAGGGGCTCCTAGATATTCTTCCAGCCAGTAACCCTTGCTGCAAACAGTTCACTTATGTACAGAAATCTTCTTAAGAGCGCTATCGTTCTACGTCTGTCTTTCCAAATATCAGCAATTGGATCCCGTTATGCTATGTTTGTTCGCTGAACTCATCGAGCAAAGCCTGAACGCGCGAATCACTTTTCACGTTACGCCCGGGTGCAAAGCTTGGTGATAGACGGTACTGCGTCACAAATTTCTCGGAACAGCCGGTGTAGTTCTTAATATCTTTCCTTGCCTAGCCGAAATGGAGAATCCCGTTGCGAGTGGCGTCGCGCGCTCCCAGCCCTGCATTGGCAGCTCTCCCTCCGCGTCCCATTTCCCTTTCTGGGCGAGCAAGATTGACTCATTATCGCCGGCGAGATTTGAAATAGACTGAACGCTGATTTCATCGCTCGATGGCCCATCACTGAGAATTTCGTTATCACTCCATCTCTCAGTGCGCCCGACTTGCTCAATCTTGATTGCAGCGATGGAGTTGCGAGTAGCAGAGCTGCTGTTTTATGACGAAAATAAGGGAAAGAACAAGGATTGAGCTACTGAACGTTGATATCGACGGAATTAAATAGAGCTTTAATAAACTGGAAGCACATTTCGTGCTTTTGGAATAGGCATATTGCGAAAATTTTACACTTTATCATCATGTCACATCCAACCGACGAAAATACACTCCACAGCTCTAAGATTTCAAAACAGAGGGTCGCAAAAACGAAAGCTTTCAGAGACTTTGAATGATTGAAAAGGTAGACAGAACAAAAGGTTCCTAAAATAACCGCATTTTTTGTCATGTAAAAGGATAACACACACTGAAAACGCTCGGTAATGTTACGAAGAAAAATAAATGGTTTCTTAAAGCGAAGAGTTAACTGGCGTCTTCCAGAATCAAGTGAAATATAGCGCAAGGCATATTGCATGGATTCAGGGCCTACAACTGCATGCCGGCTTTTTTCATGAAAATTCGAAAAACAAAATAAAATCAGTAGATTTTTAATGTTATAAGTAATTAGAAATAGAGATGTATCAGATTAATATTTTTAGTGAGTTTTAGCTGCAATTTTGTGTCAAAAATACACGTAAACAATTGGAGATGCTACGTAAACCGAAACTGTTGTTTTATGAGGAAAATGAGGGAAAGGCAAATATTGAGCTACTGATATTAAATTTATGACAAGAAATGTTTTCCATGAAGCAAACATAATAAAAAAACTACAAAAAGAACAAAAAATTCGTACTTGGACTTCTAAAATGGATAAATAATCTCATATTTTGAAAACAAAAACTTCTTTTAATTCATATTAAACAAAATGATCAAGTATATTATATAATATAGACAAGGGGACATTCATATAAATTATAAAAAGTAAAGAAAAATAGTTTCGGTGCCTCAATACAAACATAGGACTGTTTTAAAAGAATTAAAAA